TTAATTTTTATTTTGTCAATATACACTGTATATGATTATTATGGCCCATCACCGATACCTCTTTTTTGAGTGTTCTGTGATAAACATGAAGATATGAGTTTTGCTGAATCCCTGTCTTTTACGATTTCTATTTAATAAATAAGGATTAAATTATATACGGTATTAGCAGAAAACAGTAAGTTGTTTTAGATACTGGAGAGAAAAAATGGAAAGCTAAATTTGTAAATCTACATACAGATACAAGAACAGCCTCTTGTGGCATAATAGCCACTGATGATATAAATAAGCTATTGGTTTTCTTGTAAATGTTGATAAATGAACATACACACCTACCTTGTTATTACTTGTTACATAATGAGGTTTGAAGAGGCAGTCAGTAACTGAAACCTAGGTCTGTCTGGCTCTAGAGCTCTGTGGTGTCAACCCCCATGCTGAGAAGTTTACACAGGAAGTAGGCAGCTGCTACTATTCAGTCATTTGTGGAAGAGATGGTTTCTGTGCCTGCCCCACCCAGTTATGACTTCCTGCAAGTTAGCAATTAATCAAAGTATGGTTATCTCCTCACAGCCTGAATTACAGGTAACTTATAGATAAGCAATACCAAATTTACAATTCTACACTTCAATTTTTAAAATTTTAGTGACCCAAACTTGCAAATGTCTTAAGTTTAAGGATACTCCCCTGTACACAAAAATGACATAATTTCCATGTAATTTTCAACAAATATTTATGTGGTTATCCATATACTAGTGGTGCTGTTTGATTCTTCCTTTTAGCTCTTATTTAGACAATAAGGTGACTCTGTGATGCCAAAAGCTACATTGGGGCTAATAACACAACTACTTTTGAACTGCACAAAAGCACGTCAGTATTAGGATGTGTTTTCCTAATATTATTAGTTAAGCTAGGAGAAACTTAACCAATAATATTACTTAAATTCCAAAACACCCTGTGGACAGCAGGGGTGGACATGGGAGCACGCATTAGAACAGTTCACACCATCTGGCCTGGAACATGCAGCTCACTGGTGGCTGAAGAGGGGACATGAGACAGGCATGTCTGGAAGGCAGGCCATGCTCACTGACAGAGAGTGAACGTGCCTACAGTGGAGAAGTGGCTCCAAGCCAGGATGCTAAACAGGGTTGCTGACAAAAGGCAGAGTCTCAGGAAAGAGTGGGATGCGATGCTGCCAAGCCCGAGAATTCTGTGCATAGGAAAGGATTATTTTAATGTACAGCAATGTCTGCAAAGTGGTGAAGAGATCCCAGAAAGGAGAGTAAAAAGGAAGAGTCCAAAGAGTGAGTGTCCCTGACAGCAGTTTCAGGCATCAAAGTTTCCAAGACTATGTTGACTGATTTGTATTAAATAAAAAAGCGCTTGGAAGGTACACTGAGGTACATAAGTAAGTTTACAGCTGTCAGAATTTTCAAAGTATGTACTTATGCAGCTGAACCATGCAAACATGTGATTTTAATGGGCAAGACTTGAAAATACTGAAATATCTTCAAGTGCTCACGTCTGCTGATAGGTAATGGGGCAGTTATTATTTATTCTCAGAAAACAAAGTTAGTTTTAAAATGCAGTACCAAAACAAATGCTTTAAAGCACGTTCATATGAAAAGTTGTTAAAATAATATTCTTTTAATAAGTTTAAGCTTCCAGAGAAATATACTGGGAAAGACCCAGATATCTCCTTCAACAAAGAAAACGACTTCTTCATTCTCTTTATACTTTACTTCATATTACAAGTTTTGTGCTACTGTTAGATGATATATTAATTTTATTTTCACTACATAAATTGAGGAAGAAACAGAATCAGATCCAAATATATTACAAGGCATTAGGGAAGTGTATTTGTTGCCAAAAAGAAAATTGTCTGAAATATACTTTCAAAATTGAAACAGACTTGTTTAAAAGCACTATTGTGGCCTCCTTTCTTGTTTAGAATATAACCAGGTTTTCATTAAAGTATCAATAAATGGATTTAACAAATTCTCTCATAAAGTTAACATTCTGAATGTTCCAAAAAATCATATTCAACATATTCTTCCAGTTGTTTCAAGATGCTTGGGTTATCCGTGACTGGAAAGTGTAAAGGTGCTCTGGTGGCATCAGTGGGCAGCTGACTTTGGGTTTTAAAAGCACAATTTAGAGTCTTGAAGAATGGCATCAACTGACTAATGCTGGAAACAGAATGCTGGCGCAGAAGAGGGAATTCACTCTTCACAGTGACCTCATCAGAGCTGCTAATTTCCTGTTTAAAAAAAAAAAACCCACAAAAAACGATATGGCATTACCAAGGGACAGAGATGCCTGTGAGCACACGCATGCAGCAGAGCCTGAGATCAGTTCTTTATGAACATTCATTACCAGCACTAATGACAGGGGCACAAGCGAAATTCTCACTCTCCTGTGACCATGCGCCCTCGGGTCTCGCCCCTGCCATTCTTCCTAGTGGGCTCCTCCCCCTCCTGGCTCTAGTTAATAGAGGAACTTGAGGAGTAACACGAGTTCTCTGTGACTGTGTTAACCAGAAAGCTTTACCTCTTAGCAACTGGGATGAGGAAGTGGTGTTTATGACATAAATAATTTATGACCATCTCCAACTTTTAAAACTAAGAACAATTCTGAAAATTCATATTATTCAATTATTCAGTTACCAAAATCAAGTGATTTGTAAAGTACGTTACTAACTGCTTAGCCCTTCTCCCTTTGCCATGAACATAATTTTTAAAAGGAAAACATTTACCCCATATTTTAATTTTAGAAGTTCTAGAATCCTAACAGTGTGGGGTTTGCATTCTTGGTGATTCTCCTCCAGATCTGACAGGAAGGCATGGCCCTCTGTGTCCACTTCTGGAACAAATGCCCACCTGTAACTGGAAAAAAGAAACCCGAGGTCAGGAATGCTGGCTTAGAGTCCACTTAAAAGAATTTTTTTAATGGTTTTATTAAGATATAAGTCACATACCATTCCCATTTAACATGTACAATTCAGTGGCTTTTATGATATTCACGGAGTTGTACATCTATCACAATTTTGGAGTATTTTTATTACCCCCCAAAGAAACCCTGCTCCCTTCAGCCATCAACCCCCAATCTCCTATATTCCCTTGACCTAGCCAACCACTAATCTGCTTTCTGTCTCTATAGATTTTCTGGACATGCCATATGAATACAATCATATAACATGTTCCTTTGTGACTGGCTTCTTTCACTTAGCGTAGTATTTTCAAGGTTCATCCATGTTGTAGCACATATCAGTACTTCATTTCTTTTTATTCCTGAACAGTATTTCACTGTATGGATATACTTCATTCATCAGTTATTTATCCATTCATCAGTTGATGACCATTTGGGTTGTCTCCACTTTTTGCCTATAATAAATAATGCTGCTATGCACATTCAAGTACATCAGAACCCACTTTTTAAACAACAGACTTTCTTTTGTAGATCAGTTTTAGGTGCACAGCAAAATTGAGCAGAAAAGTACAGACATTCCCATATATCCCCATCCCCATACAGCCTCTCCCACTATCCATATCCCACACCAGAGTGGTACATTTGTTACAGCTGATGAACGAATGACATTGACTTGCCATTATCACTCAAAGTCAGAGTTTACATCAGGGTCCACTCTTGGTGCTGAACATTCTGTGGGTTTGGACAAATGTATAATGACATGTATCCACCATTACAGTATCATACAGAGTAGTTTCACTGCCCTAAAAATCGTGTCTACCTCCTTCCCCAATGCTTGGCAACCACTGCTCTTTTTACTGTCTCCATAGTTTTGCCTTTGCCAGAATGTCATATACTTGGAATCATACAGTATGTACCTTTTTCAGATGGGCTTCTTTCATTTAGTAATATGCATGTAAGAGAACTCACTTTTTAACCACAAACATTTCTACATGACTACTCTCTTTTCTGGGGTAGGACAGAGAGAAGGAGCCTCTGGGTCAGAGTGAAGTTAAATGTCTGAGCAGCTGTATTAAGTCTATAGGAAATGTAAGCCTAAGGGTCAAAGCGAATTGGAGACATCCTGCTCCAAATAAAAGTACTCATATTTAACTAAAAACAGACAAAAAAAATCAACACAAATGCAGTGAGGCCCACCAGTGAGAGACTCTTGTTTCAGAAGCATTCAATAGCAAAAACCACCTAAACACACAAATACCACCCCTCCCCCCGCAACATGTTCACAACCACTGCTGTGAGTCAAATTCACGAAATGACAGATGTGGCAAGTAATCTGAAACTTGGTATTCTCAGCTGGCTCATCCGCCACTGGAAACCCATACTGTGGCTTCTCATCAACTGCACTTGAAAGAACAAGTGAAAGTGCCCAGGAAAGAAAAATCACCTGCTTCAGAAAGGACACACAGTCTTATATGACTTACATTTGAAACAGTGGCATCTTGTCAGGTGGAAAAGAAAGTGCTGTGTCCAAGAACTTGCAAGCTGATAAATATAAGGTGAATTCACTCTGGGGTATCTCCCCCATTGAGGGCCCATTTCCATCTGGGACTGAAACTTTGACTCTGTTTATTTTGTTGCTGTTTCTATAAATTTGTAAAGAAATTCTTGTTATAAATTAATTCACACCTGCTGTAGTCCATTCACCTATGAAATGTCCATAAGAAGGATTTTCCTTTTAAGAAATTTTCAAAATAGCTGGTCCCTCCCAAGTACTCGAAGAAAACAGTGTTTAGCATTAGATAACCCTGCATCGTAAAGTGATGTCCATTAGCCTTGGCCCCCTTCCACACACGTGCACAGACCTTGCACTACTCACCTCAATGATTCATCTTCCTCTTTCAGATCCTCTTCAAGCTGTGTAAATGTCTGAATCTTAAAAAGAAAATGTGCATTCAATTTACTAGTTGAGAGGTTAAATCTACCCAGATTTATATGTCTATAAAAAACTAGTAAATAGTATCAAACGGTACAAATTAGTTGGAATAACTGACAGGTGAGAGATCAAAGATGGTTACAGGATAAAATATTCTCTATTTAACCAAGAGCTGACTGTGTGCTACTAACCTATGTGCAAGTTAATTGAAAACAAGCTTTAGATAAAATTTGATACCTATGAAATGGCATATTATATTTTAATGAAAAATCATTTTAAAAGCTCCAACCTTGCTTTCAAGAGTACAATACTTATACTCACCAATTCAGAGACCATTATTGGCCACAATGAAGTCAAATGTTGAGGAGATATTCTTAACAGCAAAACTCTGAAAAAAAGAAACATCTGAGCAGCAACTGTGGGTGTCTGTCCAACTCTGAGATTGTCTGTCAGGCGTTCTAAGGAAAGAAGATTTTAAAGATGTCACACAAATATGCAACTTGGGGTTTCTCATTAGACAAAGAAGAAACATAAAATTATAACTGCTTTGACATTTCAATGACCACCCCGTGTAAGACATGAGTGTTAGGAGAATGTTTCTGTGCACACAGTCTACCCCAGCCCTCTTCTATGTGAAGTAAGGCAGTTTCATAGCCCTTGTTAAAGGAAGTGAATCAAATGACTTTATCCCCCTGCCACAGCAGAGCAGAAAGACAGGATCTAACCCCAGAAATCCCTTGGATGACCAAGGACCACTTATATTTTCTTCTAAGAATATGAATTACGAGACACAGAAACCAAAGACAGCCCTTGGTGAGTGATGGGTTTTTATAATCATAGAGAATGGCTGCAGACAATACCATACTCGGGGGGCGATGGGTGGAAAGTGAAGCAGGTGAATAAAACAGATTTAATTCTGTAAAGTTTAGATTTGATGGCCATGACAAACTTTAATTCCTTCAGAGGGGAGAAAAGTTGTGAGTTAAACTTTCCAGTTCTTAACACTCAACATTCTTCCCCACTGAAGTAATTATTCGTAGAATGATACCCTCCCTCCCCCCATAGCTTAAGGTTTCTTAGGAATGTAACAAATTATTGCAGCAAACAGCTGAACTATAGTCATCTAGCTAAGATTTGCTGTGGTACATTAGTAATGAACTTCTCTTTACTTGAGCTAGCTTAACTGTGCTTTTATTTCCTGCCTTTAAAAGTACCCTGACCACAGGCTGGCTGGCCAGCTCACTTGGGAGACGTGGTGGTGATAACACCAAGGTCAAGGGTTAAGATCCACCCCCAACCACAGAATAAAAAAAAAAAAAAAAAAAAAGTACTCTGACCAAAGGAAGAATCATGCATTAGCTCAGACACTGGACAATAAGTTGTGATTTTAAAAAGTAGTTTTTGTGGTTGGTTCTGGACACCATGAAGTAAGTACATTAAATCTTGTTCCTTCTCTAATTATAATAAAAAACCTTGAACAAAATATATACACCAACTATCAGAAGACTGAAAGGTGAAGAAAAGAAGGCAAGGCTGGATAGGAACTTTAGGGACTTAAGGAATGACATCTTGTTCCTTCTCTAATTATAATAAAAAACCTTGAACAAAATATATACACCAACTATCAGAAAACTGAAAGGTGAAGAAAAGAAGGCAAGGCTGGATAGGAACTTTAGGGACTTAAGGAATGACATGTAGTGAGTTCCCTAGGGTTTTTTATTTTTTATTTTCTTCTGGCCTGGGCATCTGAGAAGACTATCACTTGGAATGCCAAAAATCTTAACTTGAATGAGGAAAGGCAATCAAAACACACCAATGCTGAGATAGTATGGAGGTTGGTATTATTAGAAAAGGATTTGCAAGCTGCTACCTAAAAATACTCCAATAATCAATTATAGATGTTCTTAACAAATAAAAAATAAAAAGTCTCAGCAAAGAAATAAGAGATACCAAGAAGAACCAAATGGAAATTTTAGAATTAATAAAATACAATCAAAAAATACGAGAACTCACTGGATGAGCTTAATAGCAGAATGGAGATGACAGGAAAGAAGGAAGTTGAAATGGATTCAACCAATTATTCAAACTGAACAAAGGAGAGAAAAAAGGTTGAAAAAAAAAATTGAAGAGAATCTCAGAGACCTGTGTGACAACAGAAGATCTGACATTCGTGTTAGCAGAGTTCCAGAAGGAGAGGCAAAAAAGAGTACAGGTTGGAAAAATATGTGAAGAAATAATGAAAACTTCCCAAATTTGCTGAGACATAAATCTACAGATATAAGAAGGCGAGTAAACTATAAAAAGGATAAACCCAAAGAAATCCATGCCAGACACATCATAAGCAAATTTCTGAAAACTAAAGACAAAGAAAAAATTCTTGATAGTAGTCAGAGAGAAGTGACACATTATCTAAAAGGGAACAATAATTAGAATGACAGCAGATTTCTTGTCAGAAACCAAAGCCAGAAAAAAGCAGCATATTTTTAAAGTGCTAAAAGAAAAGAACTTCAACCCAGAATTCTATTTCTAATGAAAATATTCTTCAAGAATGAAGGTAAGCTCCCCACCCCCAAACCAAAATGAATGAAGGTGAAATAAACACAGTCTAGGAGAAGGTAAACTAAGAATCTGTTGCCAGCAGATCTGCTCTAAAAAAATGGCAAAATAAAATTCTTCAAACAGATAGGAAATGATGACAGGACTGATGGAGAATAGAGCAGTGGTTTCCAGGGGTTAGGGTTGGTGGGGGGTGTGACTATAAAGGGAATGACAAAAGAAAGTTGCTTTGTGTTGATAGAAGGGTTCTGCCTCCTGGTTGTGATGCTGGCTACAAGAACTTATACATGCAGTACTTTTACAGACCTAGACACACACACAC